AAAACAAACAAACAAACAAACAAACAAAACAATAAGTGGGCAAAGGATATAAACAGGCACTTTTCAAAAGAAGACATTTATGCAGCCAACAAACATATATAAAAAAGCTCATCATCATTGGTCATTGGAGAAATACAAATCAAAACCATATTGAGATACCACCTAACACCAATTAGAATGGCAATCATTAAAAAATCAGGAGACAATAGATGCTGGAGAGGATGTGGAGAAATAGGAACACTTTTATACTGTTGGTAGAGTGTAAATTAGTTCAACCATTGTGGAAAGCAGTGTGGCAATTCCTCAAAGATCTAGAAATAGAAATATCATTTGACTCAACAATCCCATCACTGGGTATACACCCAAAGGATTATAAATCATTCTATTATAAAGACACATACACATGTGTATTTATTGCAGCACTGTTCGCAATAGCAAAGACTTGGAACCAACCCAAATGCCCATCAATGATAGATTGGATAAAGAAAATGTGGCACATATACACCATGAAATATTATGCAGCCATAAAAAAGGATCAGTTCGTGTCCTTTGCAGGGAAATGGATGAAACTGGAAACCATCATTCTCAGCAAACTGACACAAGAACAGAAAACCAAACACCACATATTCTCACTCATAAATGGATGTTGAACAATGAGAAGACATGGACACAGGGAGGGGAACATCATACACCAGGACCTGAGGGGTTGGGAGACTAGGGGAGGGATATCAGGGGTTGGGGAGATTGGGGAGGGATAGCATTAGGAGAAATACCTAATGTAGATGACAGGGCAATGGATGCAGCAAACCACTGCCATGGCACGTGTATACCTATGTAACAAACCTGCACAATCTGCACATGTACCCCAGAGCTTAAAGTATGATAAATAAATTAAAAAAAAAAATAAAGCACATCCCTCCTCACTTCAACTTTTTTTTACATTTGTATTTGTTTAAACAGTATCACTGAGGTATATTTTACATATGATAAAACCTACCTGTTTCTACAATTCGGTGACTTTTAGTAACTTTACCAAGTGATATTACCATTTAAGACTGGGACAAATAATAAATTGTTAAGTAGAAGATTTGGAGAAAGATTTTGTGGGTTCTGTGTATTTTGTACACATGCATATTTATTTTTTAATTTAAAATATATGAACTAGCCAATAAGTTCTTCTGGCAAGTAACTGCAAATGAAAATAGCTTCATAATTTCATTTTTGAAATAAAAATATGATTATGTTACACTTAAAATAATTTGGTTACTTCAAGATATAGAAAGAATTTGAAATTTCGTTTTAATTAAATTTATTTTAATTATCTCCAATTATCTTTTGATAATTTGTGTCACAAGGAGTTAAGTCAAATTAAAAAGTAAACATCTCTTCACAGATACAGTAGATCTATGGATAGAGGCAGGAAGATCTACTGTATCTTGAAAAAGTTTCTGTGTGATGAAGGTGCCAGGTTAAACATGAATGATGTTGCTGTATCTAGACCTTTAAGCCTGCCTGGCTCTATTTTTAGAAACTAGAAAGTTGGGCTGGACATGGGGGCTCATGCCTGTAATCCCAGCATTTTGGGATGCCGAGGTGGGTGGATTGTTTGAGCTCAGGAAGTCAAGGCTGAAGTGAGCTGAGGTTGTACCAGTGTACTCTAGCTTGGGTGACAGAGTGAAAGCCTGTCTCCAAAAACAAACAAACAAACTAGAAAATATATAAGAAATTTATAAATACAGCTATGGATTTGTTTTAACTGGGGATAATATATGCCCACGGGAAGAACAAATCGTTGCTACAGCAATGGTTAGCTGTGCCTTCTCTCCATAATCTCACTTCTTGATTTTGATCTCAGAAGTACTGATTCCTTCTCAGAAAAAAAGGAGGCTCTTTTCTTGTTAACTTTAGAAGCAAAAAACTTATTTTCATTTTCTGATTGGATGAATAAAAATGACATAAACAACAAATATTAAAATTTTTTTTCTCTATTTTACTTAAGGCATTCTTGACATAATTCTTTACAAGGTAATTTGGTAAAATAACATGGACACTAGCTCTTGTCACCTAGCCACTTGACTCAGGTTTTTAAACTAGAGAAGAAAACTGCAGAGGACTAGCATTTTGTATCTGTGCCCCTTATTCTTTTCTTAGCTGTTCCTCATTGGCCAAGGCTAATTCTTCCACTGCTTACGACCTTTCCTCTCTGCTGTGCAGAAGGTGCATTGCCCGGCACAGTTTGTTCACAGAGGTTATATTGCGAAAAGTGTCCTTGGGGTTGTACAACACCCAAGCTGCCTTACACAAGATGTGACCACCTAGTCTCCGGATTCCCTCCTAGAGGTCCTTGTTCTATTACCTCCTAGCTTGCAACATCAGCTCACACTGGCTCTGCCTCCCTACCTACATTTGATTCATTAAAATATTTAAATACCCCAGATGTAACACAATAAACATTGAAAAACTCCAACTCTTTCTGGACCAAGCCCTCCTGTGAGCAGCAGTCTATTCTCTCCCATATCTTCAAGGGATGAAGACTTGTCCACACCTGCTCGTTCTCAGTAACTGACAACGACTTCATGAAGGCTCTTATCTGCACTGAATTGCTCCAACAGCCTGCTTGCTGGTCTCCCAGCACCCCTTATTATTTCCATTCGTCTTTCCATGTTTCTTTCCTTTCCACGGTTGTCATTGGGGTTTTGATAAGACACAAATCTATTTATATCATTTTTCTACTTATATTCTTAGAATTACTGCCTATCGTTTTCAAGAAAAAAATCCAAATACGGGATATAGGTTTTCATGATCTGACCTATTTAGCTTAGTTTCTTAATTCACCTTGACCTTCCCCTGCAGTCTACATTCTACACTGCGGATGTCCTGAATCTACTGCCACACTTGCAGTTCTCCCCCAAATTGTCCTCACTCCCCTGAATGTTCTCACACTTGTTGCTTTTTCTTCCAGTGGCGCCCTTATCTCAATCTCCCTGTCTGATAAACTGCATGTGTTTTATACTGTATTTGAATTGTATTTTATGTTTCTATGTATTTTGAATTGTATTTTATGTTTCTCAAGAGAAGCACCTGAATCTTATTTATGATTTCAGTGTCTAGTACATAACAGGCATGTAGTAAATGTGTCTTTAAGGCTAATTATTGACTTGTATTCAGCCATCTTCTATCTTCCCAAGTGGGAGATTTATGTCTTTCCAGTAACTGCCACATAACTAGATCTTAATAAAGATTAACATCTGTTGAAGGAACGAACACTGCAATTGTCTCCAGATTCTACCTCTTCCAGTCCATCCTGCACACTGATGGAAGGTTACTTTTGCTAATATACTAAGTCCCCATGGTACCTATCACCTCCCTACCCAGCTCACATTTTCATTAGCTTCTTATTACCTCTTGGATAAAATACAGGTTCTCCTATTTCTGTTCTTTTGCATTGGCTATAATCTCTGCCTGGAATGCTCTTTCTTTGATTTTTACAGACTTTCTCCTCCTCCTTATGTCTCAGAACAAGCTTTCCCTGACTACTCAAACTAAAATGATCTTTGCATCAGTCTATTATATTAAATTGTTACAATTTCTTAATACTTTCAATTTATTAGAGCTAAAATTATCTTCTTCACAGTCTTTTTTTCTATTATGTTTCTCTATTGCTTTCTTCATTAGAATGTACGATTCCTTAACACAGGGACCTGACTGGTTTTGTTCATTCCTCTGCATCTCCAGTTTTAAAGCAGTACCTGGAAGCAGAGGTGAACCACCCAAACATTTGTTTAACAAATGAAAGAGTGAAAAACTACTTGAACCAGGCATTCAAGGTCCTCAATGACATGGCCTCACTCTATCTTTCCAGCCTTATCTCCAACTAATTCCAGTTTGCAATTTCCAAAATACCTGTTATACCTCCTAAATAAGCATATCTACAATACTCTTGTATTCTTTCTCTTCCTACTAAATTATCTTCATCATTTAAATTACCTTCATCAGATCCAGCTCAAATGCCATGTCTTCTATAAGGCAATACAAAGTGGCAAGCTCCTTACTACATTATTTCTCTGTTTAATGTCTTCTTTCAATTTCCTGGAGGATTTTTATTTTAAAAATAGGTTATAAGGTCTATGACATTCTTAAAATGAAAAATGGTATAATTTCTAGAATTATAGAAATTCTAGTAGTAAATAAGATTCAAGCCCAAATTTACCTATTTTAAGAAAATTGTGGCCAGGTGCAGTGGCTCATGACTGTAATCCCAGCACTTTGGGAGGCCAAAGTAGGTGGATCATTTGAGGTCAGGAGTTCCACACCAGCCTGACCAACATGGTAAAACCCCGTCTCTACTAAAAATACAAAAAATTTAACCAGGTGTGGTGGCATATGCCTGTAGTCTCAGCTACTTGGGAAGATGAGGCAAGAGAATTGCTTGAACCCAGGAGGTGGAGGTTGCAGCGAACTGAGATAGTGCCACTGCACTCTAGCGTGGGGGGTGACAGAGCAAGCCTCTCTTTAAAAAAAAAAAAAAGAAAGAAAGAAAGAAAGAAAAGAAAATTGCAGTTCTTTTTCTTCAAGTGTACCAGAGAAGTCTGCTTTCAGTTATAATGTGGAACATAATGGTTAAAAAGCAACATTCAAAATTGGTTTGTGAGAGCTGGTTCTAGTGACAGCTTTGATCTCTAAATTGCAGATAATACCTTCCATTGAACACACTATGAAAAAGCATCCAAAAATAACAATTCAACATTAACTATGAGCCTGACATAACTTCTGTTGATTAAATCACTTGTTTCAATCCAGAAAACAAAACAACTAGAATGCTTCTGTGATAAGAACTATTAGTCAGAAGATTCTTAAAGCACAGAGTGAATTTTAAATATTTTTACTGATCTAAGTCCTGTTAACTCCAGTGGTAGATCAATGCAGAAACACCTATATATGTGGGCCTAAACATCAGAGCAGATCATACAACATGGACTGTGTAAAGAAAACATGCCAACCTGGATGCCAAGTTGGCACTATGAGCATCCTCTGTTGAATTCATGTCTTCCAAGCAGGATTTTCTACGACTTAGCCACAGGCTGAGCTGAGGAATGCCATCAGATAGCTCTGGTTGCAGTACTCTGTGGGCGTGAATAGATCCCTCACTCCTGGACTTTGGGATCTACAAGAAAAAAGAGGGGTGGGGGAAAGCAAGATAAATGTTAATGTCTTTCAAATTAAGTTTTTGAAAAAGGACAATTTATTCCAATGTTGCAATAATCCAATTTATAACATCCCAGAAAAATATCAAGCTTAAAATGAAATTTAAAATACATATAAAAATTATATAGCAAAGGGCACAGGGAAGGGGAGATACAAATATTTCCAAGGAGAACATTCAAACCTTCTATACCCCATGCCCTACTCAGACGGCTTCTATTCTGAGTGAAATCTTCCCCAGGCCCACCCCTCCTTAGAATAATCATTCTATGTAGTGAGAAATGGTGGGAGTATGTCAGACTGGGAACTTTGGTTGAAGGAAATAAAAAATAGTTGGAAAGAGACAGGAAGAAAAAGAGCTAAGAACCACTAGAATACAGAATGCCAATGTCTGAAAGGTATTCAGAAATATTTACTACCAATAAGCAAAACATGAATCTGCTGATTTGTAGGGCGAAATAAGATTTGATAAATTTTTGTTTAAGTAATGAATAGGAAAAATACAAGCTTTTAGTTTTCTTTTATCTCTGAATGCATGGGCAACACATGTCCCCAGTGAATCCTGGGGTACTGACTTCTCAGACCATATCTAAAGTTATGCTCCCTGTAGCCCTCAAAATACCCTCATGTTCTCTTATCTTAGATCAGAATAAATTTGAATACAGTCAATATTCTTTTCCTTTAAAATGTAAAAAACATTATGCCAGAATTGTAGGAAAAATGTGAAACCTCGGATCAATTGTATTTCATGTACTTGAAGCTTTTTCTTGTCTCTAGGATTTTTCCCATGCTTGTCCTTACGTCTGGAACGTCATGTGCTCATCATTGGCCCACTCAACTGCCTAAACCCAAACCAATCCTAACTTCCTTTGAGGCTGAGATAACTCCAGTGGACTTCAGGTCTCTCTCTTACCCAGGCTGGAGTACTGCAGTGGCATGATCTTGGCTCACTGCAACCTCCACCTCCTGGGTTCAAGTGATTCTCCTTCCTCAACCTCCTGAGTGGGTGGGATTATAGGCATGCACCACCAAGCCTGGTGGTGTATTTTTTTTTTTTTTGTATTTTTAATAGAGATGGGGTTTCACCATGTTGGCCTGGCTGGTCTCTAACTCGTGACCTCAAGTCTTCTGCCCACCTCGGCCTCCCAAAGTGCTGAGACTACGGGCTTGACCCATAGCACCTGGCCTTAACTTCAGGTCTTAATGACCTTTCCCAACTCTGAATTTCCATAACACCCTACCACATAGTCTACCCTTGATTACACATTGCCTGATACCTTAATCTGAGTTTTTGCATGTTTCTAGGTCATATGGCCTCCGTGGGTTCTCAGCAGAGAGATTATAGTCTCCTCCTATTATTATGTATCCCTTTCTCTCTCCTTCTTATTATTATTAACATTTTTACCATAAAGTCTAGCAAAGTTTTGAGTCCATTAAGAAATATTTATTGTGAAACAATCCACTTGTCAACCACAAGGTATTCTTAAGACATTAACTATCCTGGAGGTTAGTAAAACAGATAATTTTTAAAAGCAATGTGTGATTATGAATATAAATATTGAAGAAATTCATGTCTCTATGAAGATTACATTAAAATTATGTATAAATAAATATATACAATTATGACTCATCAATTAAAATAGCATTAATTTACAAAACCAAAAAAAACCACATGCAAACAAAATACATGAGTATAATTTGTCAAAAAGGTAAACTTGGGACAGAGCAAAGTGAACACTCAATAAAACCTAGTTTTTATTATTACTGTCATGTAAAATTTGCCCAAATCTGATGACTGCCAATTAATTTTTCATGACATTTCTTTGTAGAGCATTCTTAAGCAAGGATAAAATCAGGAAAGCAAGGACAATTTTTGTTTAAATTATAAACTTACAAAAACACTTTTGTAGTCCATATTTGCCAAGATTATCTTTTTATTGACAAAAATTATATATATTCATCCTGTACAACATGTTGTTCTAAAATATGCATGCACTATGGAACAGCTAAACAAACAATTAAAACATGCATTACCTCACATACTTTTTTGTGGTGAGAAAACTTAAAATCTACTCTCTTAGCAATTTTCAAGAATACAAAGAATACTTTGTAAAAAATATTAATAGCAAGAACATGAAGGTATAAATATATGCTATTATATATTTCATTAAGGAGCTCTTTTTGCATGTGATTATTTTTCATAAGAGTAGACATGAAAAATCAATTAAAAACACTGCAAATGCAGTAAGATTTCAAACTAATTAGCCAAAAATCTCACATTTAGACTTAGTTCCTTGCCCATATTAAAGCAAGCACAAGGTTGGTTGTTCGGAAACATTTCATAGTGTTAAAATAAGGAGCCTGTTATGGCTAATATTGTGTCAACTTTATTGAAGGAAGAAAAGTATTGTGCCTGGGTGTATCTATTAGGGTGTTGCCAAAAGAGATTAAAATCTGAGTTAGTGGACTGGGAGAAGCAGACCCACCCTCAGTCTGGGTTGGCACCATCCAAACTGCCAGGGCGGCTAGGATAAAAGCAGGCAAAGGAACGTGGAAGGACTAGACTGGCTGAGTTTTCTGGCCTCCATCTTTCTCCCATGCTAGATGCTTCCTGACCTCAAACATCAGACTCCAAGTTTTTAGCTCTTGGAGTTTTAGAATTACACCAGTGGTTTGCCAAGGGGCTCTTGGGCCTTTGGCCACAGACTGCACTGTCAGCGTCCCTACTTTTGAGGTTTTGGGACTTGGACTGGCTTCCTTGCTCCTCAGCTTGCAGACAGTCTATTGTGGGATCACCTTGTGATCATTTGAGTCAATTCTCCTAACAAACTCCTCTTCATATACACATCTGTCCTATTAGTTCTGTCCCTCTAGTGAACCCTAAAACAGAGACGTTTTAGGTTCAGTGATAATTTTGAGGCTCTAAATTCCATTTAGCCATTTATGTAAAGGTGAAATATTCTAGGGTAAAAAGGTAATATGCAGCTTATTCCATTCTGTCAGGTTACATTCAAATAGCCTTTATAATGAAAATCACCTAGAAGTCAGATACCAGAAATGACATCAGCTATATTTTGTCTAAGTGTATTTTTGTGATGATCTAAGCTCTAAAAAAAATAAATAAATAAACATGACTGTCATTAACCATGAACTTTAAAATATAAACTCATTACTTATATATTAAAGTAATGTAAATATCTGAGCTTGTGTATAGAATGCGAAAATACCATAGGCAGTTGATGAGAGAATGGAATTTTTAGGAAAAATGTAGCTCTGTAACTCAGACTTCTATAACTATAAAAGATACATGCACATTTTGAAGGCAATGAAAGTTTTCAAAGATGACTAATGCTATCTTCTTGAAGATGTAGCTTAGAGACTACATTTCCACTACAGAAATGACTATAGGAAAAATGAAAATAATGTGATATAATTTTAAAACCTGCTGTTTCACTGATGGTAATTAACTTTAGTTCGAATGTATTGACTTTGAGGAAAAGGAAAAGACCATTTTCTTCCCCTCAGGTGGAAGTGGGCTTCTCAGAAACACATGATTTAAGCAAAAACAAATTTATACTACTCTTGGCCTTTAAATGTAGGTAGAGAGGATAGTTTTATTTTGATGCTTTGGGTACCTATTTCAGATCTATATATTTTAGTATTGGTGTACACTAACTTGGAGGTAGTACTCACAGTTACTTTCCATCACTGAATTATCTGAAGAGGAATATGGTACCAGTTAGCCAAGGCCAAGGAAACAGGTGGGCATGCTATTACAGTCATTACAATGTGGTGTTTAAAGCAGCCATTACAATGTGGTGGGTCTTCTCGTGCACAGCTGATTTTGTCTGGACACATTTTTGGTTGTCATGATGGGGATGAGGGTGTACACTAGTGGAATCTAGTGGGCCCAGACCAGGCATGTGACTAATCCTTCCATGCACAGGACAGCCTGCTACACACACACAAAGAGTTATCTGGTTCAACATGTCAGTAGTCCTAAAGTTGAGAAACCCTGTTTTAGAGGGAACAGTAGGAAAAAATCTGTATTAAGGCAACATCTCTCTTTACACACTTTTCTTTTGTTTCTGTCTTCTTTTTATGCCACTCGTACTTTAAGACATAATAAAACAAAATCAGCTGTAAGTTTTGCACAAGTGGGCTGAGGAGGTCATTTAGACCCACCTTGTCTTGGCAAGAGTTGCTAGTGGTTCCATGAGACTCAAGCAAGCCCTGATGGGCAGGGACTCCAAATCATGCCAACAGCTTTACTGTAATAAATGGAGTGAATGTGCTGGAGAGACCCACCTGCAGCCTCTCTCATAACACGTGGCTGAAGTAGGAAAATGGCCATGGATTGGGGATACAGACTGGGGAGGCCAGTTTTCTCTTTCCACTGTAGTTATAATTGATAGCCACTAGCTCACACCACACTTTCTTTCTTTTAGTCATTTCGTTTATTTGGTCATTTAGGTACTTTTGTACTTGAAGGCAAAAACTATAAAATACCCCAGACCACCTATCAGACCACCTATAATAAATACTTTGCTCATAAGAATTGTGCCATTGGTTATTTGAGATAAAGATCTATGTGTATGTTGTGTGATTTATGTGTACAACTAAAACACAAACAATTCCAGGAATCTCAAAAAAAGCACATTCCATGCATGTGTTTGCAGGTGTGCAGTAGCTCTAGTTGTGGCATTTTTTAAGGAACATTAGTGTTTGAGATGCCATGAGAATAAAAACAAAGTAATATTCTTTGAGACAGTAAAATTAGAAAACATTCTCTTAAATCCTGGTGCTGTTGCTGTTATAGTTAATAATTACTGAGCACTTATTCTGGTTCCAAGAGGTTTACATAAACCAGCCCATTTAATTCTCACAATCACCCAAGGAGTCAGGAGCTGTAATTATTATCATTTGAAAAATGAGGAAACTGAGGCACAAAAAATTTGATTT